ATGCGCTCGCACCGCGTCCCCCGCCGTGAGTGCGGGACGGAACGGGGGCGCGGGCGGGCGCCATTTCACGGGCGGAGCGGGGAGCGGCCATTTTGTGCGCGGGGCGCCGCGGAGCGCGCGGGTGCCATTTCGCGGGCGGGTGCGGGGCTGAGGGCGATGGCGGCGCTTGCCTCTTGCAGAGGCGCGGGTGAAGGTGATGGCACGGTTCTCGCCCGACTGCGCCGTGGTGCTGCTGCAGCACCTGGACTCGCCGGTGACGCGATTCCTGCTGAGCCACCCACCGCTGTCGCGGCTTTTCGAGTCCCAGGTGAGGCGGCGCGGTGCCCGCACCGCCCGTGCAGAGCCGGCGGCGGCGGCCCTGTCAGCGCCCAGGCCGTGGCTCACACACCCCGTGCTGAGTGCTCGCCCTCTCGCCTAGAAAAAGGAGGAGTCTAGCTTCACACCAGAGGACGCGGTCCTGGCGTCCGTGGGCATCGTGAAGTGCAGCCCTGACCGCGGGCTGCTGGTGTCGGAGAGCATGTGCCTGGCGCTGGAGGAGCTGATCCAGACCTGCTGTGGTGAGTGCAGGCGTTTGGACAGACTGGGGCTTTGGTTGCCTGAAAAAAACAAAAATTCCTGAGGCTTTTCATGAGTTAAAGTTGAGAGAGTACCCTGCCCAGCACGTGCTTATTGAGTGTTGCAGTTTTCTCTATAACGAGCATGCATCTAGAGCTTAGGTATTGCCTAGGGTGGGTCGGTGATGCCAGCATCAGTCCAGTTAACACTCTGCTTTTCTTTCTAGCGGAAGATGAAGGTGTCCCTGTGGTGCTGGTGTGTGGACCAAAAAGCACTGGAAAATCAACATTCAACAGATACCTAATTAACCTGTTACTGAATCGGTGAGTCTTGCCATGTTCTGCAAGCTTTTAAGTGCTGCATGATATTTAGGAAAAAGGAAAAACAGATGTTTGACAAGCCTCTCAGAAGAGCCATCAGAAATAGAAGGTGCATAGCTTCTAAACAGAAGTTCAGAAAAATGTGAATTCTTACCTTGAGTGATTTCAGAAAAGTTGCCTCCTGAACGTTTCTGTTGAAATACTGTTAGATTGCTGCCTTGGAGTGTGTGAGCACATTGGGCACCAAGCAGTTTGGGTTGAGTAGGGGAGTTAGAATGCTTAAAAACATACCACGAGTGTAGTTGAGGGAAGGAGAGATTTTATTAATGAATTTTAGCTTTGCAACCTGGAACAAAATCAGATTAAGCTTCTGATCTGTTGAGGCTGTGCTGTAGTTCTTTGGGTGGATGCTGACACACAGTCTCTCTCCCTGCAGCCTTCCCGTGGTTGAGTACATGGAGTGTGACATTGGCCAGACGGAATTCACACCGCCCGGGTGTGTGTCCCTGAGCAGCGTCACGGAGCCCATTCTGGGTATGTGTTCCATTGCTCCTGAGTTACCAGAGGCCTGCTCTCTTTCTGAAATGAACAGGGTGTTCTAGGCAGAGGCTCTGCTTCAGGGGAAGCTTCTACCACAGCCATCAGAGTTTCCTGGAGAGAATAAGTCAAGGGCTCTTTGAGTTTTCTTGTCCCTACATTTAAGCTCCCTGAGTACCATGGAGCTGTTCTTCTGCTCATTTTGCCTGCTTTAAAGAGAGATGATGTTGTAGAGGTGGTAGTACATTCTAAGTCACAGGGGATGTTCTGCTGTTCAGATGTGAAAGGTCTCATTGGGAAAATCTGTATCTGTAGATCAAACTAGCTTGAGAAATCCATGATTGGACTTGGGGCTGTTTGTGATGAGTGGAAAAAACAGAACCCATGAAACTGCTGGTGTTTGTAGTCTTGCAGGTTTGGGTCACTGTCTAAAGGATGTGGCCAGGCTGGCTTGCTGTTTAACCAGTTTGCCATAGACTGTTCTTCAAAGATTTGCAAGTGTATAAGCAGTGATTTCAAACAAAGAAACACACCCAGTACTAACCCAAAACAAACAAAACTCTGAGCCTGCAAGTGGCAGACTAGTTTCCCCTGCTTGCAGGATGTGCAAGGAGGACAATTGGCACATGGGAAGAGCATGGGTTATTTCAGGAGAGGAGGCTTGTGAGTGCTCAGGCTTGGGAGTGTTTTGGTTTGACTTGAGGAAGGCACTGGATGTTCGGTGCTCTCTTTGCCAGGTCCCCCCTTCACTCACCAGCAGATGCCCCGTAAGATGGTGTATTATGGCCAGACCAGCTGTGAGCAGGACACAGAGAGGTACCTTGATGTTGTGAAATACGTGTTCAGCTGCTACAAGAAGGAAGTGCCTCTAATCATCAACACCATGGGCTGGGTGAAAGGTAAATGGTGTCAATGTACTCTGGAGAGGTGTGGGAGGGAGGTAACAGTGGCACAGCACCACGTGGAACGTCTGTGCTGAGGTAACACTGCTGTTGCACCTGTCGCAGTAGTAGCAGCAGTTGTGTGTTTCCCGTGCTCCTGAAGGTGAAGGGCTGCTGCTCCTCATTGATATCATCCGGCTGTTGACCCCCAGCCACATTGTTCAGATGGACATGTGTGACTGGAAGGCCATGCCCCCACTGACATCTGAGCATATCCACTTCAGCGCCGGGCTGCACACCAAGGGCAAGCAGCAGTCCAAGTGCAAGCAGCTGGGAGCAGATGATGTGGAGAGCTGGAAGTACCCCGAAGGGGAGGACATGTCAACTCCACAGCACAAGCTGCTCTATGTCCACCCGGAATTCCCTCGGGCAGGGGTGGCAGGTGAAGCGTAAGTAGCATGTTGAGTGCTCTGTGAGGTCATGGGCTGAACAGAACCACACATCGTCCTTGACACGGGGCTTTTCTTTCAGGCGAGTGCACAGCGGCATCCTGCGTGACATGTCCATTCTGGGCTACCTGGGGCACCTGCAGAGCCCAGACATTGGGGCTGTGCTCCCCCTGCACAGCCTGGTGCCATATCAGGTAAAGGAGCGTTTTGGGATGGCTTGGGGGTGGGTGTGCGGGGAGCCCAACTTGAAGCGATGGGCAATTCTGTTCCTACTGCATATGTTTCTCAGAAGAGGAATAAACACTCTAATCTGCAGAGTGACTATTTAGGGTGTCTGCAAGAAGAGCTTCTGTCGATGTGTTGGTGTGGCACAAGTGTGCTGTGTGCCCTGCCATAGTGCCTGTGTGTAGGTGTGATGTGGGAGTGTGCAAGGTCTATACTCAGCAGGGTCTTGTCTCTGAACTCAAACTCGATCCATGTGGAACTGATGAGCGCTTTTCTCTCTTCTCTTTACCACCTCAGGTACCTTTCAATGCTGTGGCACTCAGGGTTATTCACACAGATGTTGCTCCCAGCAACATCATGTATGCAGTGAACGCCAGCTGGGTTGGGCTGTGCTGCATTCCGGAGGAAGTCCGGTGCCAGAGCGATGGGCCAGTCCTGCTGACACAGACTCCGATCTGCGACTGCCTGGGCTTCGGTGAGCACACCTGGAGCTCTCCTCTCACCTGCCGTGTTTTGGCAGACAAGTTGCAGATTGATGGAATTACTCTTCTAAAACAAGCTGGAGAAGTGGGATGAGTGTGGTGTATTCTCTGCTGTTAGAGACTGTACTGCAAAATCCTTGGAATTTGGTTAACAGGTGGTTAGAGCTGTGGGGAATGTCCTTGCATGGTGCCACTCAGAGCTGCTCTCAGAACTCCACAGTGACTCACTTTCTACTTCACCTTCTCTAAAGCAGATTCCATGTGGCTTTTGCAAAATTCCAGTAGTTTTCTCAGTTTCCTTGTGTGACTTAATTTAGTGTCCCAGTTTGGACTTCGGTGCTCAGTCGTGTGTAGGGATCTGCCAGTGAGCAGGGATACCTAGTGACTGAGCTTTGCGTGTGTTACTTTTTAGGAATTGTCCGAGGGGTTGATATGGAGAAGAAGCTTTACCACATCCTGACACCAGTGCCTCCAGAGAATCTGAGACTAGTGAATTGTCTGCTCCTTGGGAACATTGCCATTCCTAACTGTGTGCTTGTGGGCCAGGTAGGAGCTCTTGGGAGGGGTGGGAGTTGGCTGAGCTGCAGCTGGCTGGCAGGTTTTCCATTTTCTTATTCCTGAGGCTCATGCATGCTGGGAGATGCCTGGGCATCAGCAGATGGTTATCTCTCTTGGAAATTGTCCTTAAGCACGGAAACCTCGGGAGAACAGAATGTTCTGCTCATGTTTCAGATGCCAAAGTGGGGTTTGGTGATAGCTGGGTCCTTCCCACCATCAGTTCTGTCAGCCTGGGGAGGGATGTGCTTCCACCTCTGCTGATGGTACAAGTTCTTAAAAGTTGTTTCTGGTTTAATTTTCCCATTTTCCAGCAAGGAATTGAGGGAGAGATCCCCTACGTCACATCCGATTACAACTACAGTATCGTGGGCTCAGGGAAACTGAGGAAGAAGAAGCAGCATTTGAAGAAGAGGGAGTTCCCCTTTTGAGTGTGATTATACTTGAAGCCTCTGGGTGCTCAGCCAGGGTTTGTTCATGTAAGACCTCAGGTGGTTGCATGAGCTCTGGGTGCTGCAGAGGCCCTGCAGAGGTAGATGCTACAGTGGGCCGGTTTTGATAATGTTTTCTATGTTCAGTTTGTATTTTTTGGTGTTTTGTAATAAATATCTATGGTAAACATTAAGCTGGTTTGGATCTTTTCCTAAGCCGAGGCTGTCACAGCCAAGGGCAGCTGCCATTCCACATGCAGGACCTCTTCCCATTGCCTGTTTGGCCCTCGGGGAGCTCTGTGTGTCAGCAGTCCGCAGTGCCCTGGGCAGAGCTTCACTGTCCCCTGGGTTTGGGGAAGGGCCCTGCTGGGCTTCTGGCACCGTGGCTGACCCACAGCTCTGGGTGTCCTGCTGGTCAGGGAGAGGGGAATGAAGGAGCACCAAAGGGGGTCCCTGTCCCCCTGAGTGACAAAGATGGAGCCACCCAGTGCTGCAGTGTCACAGCCCACCCTGTCTGTCCACTGGGACTGCTGCCTCCTCCCTTGTGCTGTCCCAGCTGCATCTCTGGTGCTCCAGGGTGAGCTCTGCCCTGAGCACGGTTTGGGAGCAGCTTGGGCTGGCTTGATGTGTCCCCAGCTCTAAGGAACTTTGCTATGGATAGAGGCTGTAAGGGGGTGGGATTGGGGAGGAACTTGTCACCCAGGTGCTGCATGGAGCACTGAGGTGTGTGGCCTTACCTGACCTCACCTGCTCTGCCCCACTGGGACACAAGAAGAACTTTCTTTCCAGTCCTTTTTCAATTAGTAATTTGCTCCCAGGGGAAGACAGGAGTGGTGGGAGTTGCACAGGCTTGAGTGCCTCGGGTCAAGTTGAGGACTTTTTGGAGAGAACGATTCTTTATGGGTAATAGCAGCATGCTGAGCTCTTACTGGGTCTGTGGCTGCAAAAGTAACCTGGCTTCCAACAGCAGCTCCTGCAAAATGAGGCATGTCTCTGCCTCAGCCCAGACTGGGGAACAGTCCAGCCCTGGAGTCTGGAGCCCCCTGAGCCCAGTGCCCGTTCAAATCCCCTGGGCAAGGTCTGTGGAGGAAGGACGGAAGCAGAGGAAGGAGGAATGTGGTGCACCACTTGGGGCCAGAGCTTTTTGGCTGGTGGCTGCTGTGGGTGTGAGTAATCTGCAAAATTGCTTTTATCTGGTTGGGGAAGAGATTTCCTAGAACTCCAGGAATGAGCAGCTGTAAACAAACAAACTGGGATGAGAGGTGAGGAGGGGACAGAGTTGGAGAAGAGCTGCAAGGGGCTGTGCAGTGTTGCAGTCTCGTAAAGAGTTAAACTTAATCCAGGCCTAATTATCCCCATATGGCTGGGTCTGGCAGCAAAGGAAGAAGTTGGCCAGCATTGTGGCCTGAACAGTGGCTAAAATAAATAAAGGGGCTGTGGTGCAGCCAGGGGGAACATCCCAGGCAGGGTGAGACAGGAGTTCAAAGTCACAAGGGAGTGGGAGGAAAAAGCTTCAGGAAAGGTGAGATGGGCAAAGCATGTGGGAGAAATGCCGAACGCTAAAAGAACCATGGCCAAGCATCTCCCTTGGTGTTGTTACCAGGCCCCCAGCATCCACCTCACCTGGCTGAGGGCAATGGATCCGTCCCTCAGAGCCAGGGGACAAGTGAGTAACCCCTGTGTGCTGAGCTGCAAGTGTCTGTTTTGGGCCATTTGGGGGGGCACAAGGTTCCAGCAGCTGCCTGCTGCGGCCCAGAGATGAACGCTGCAGCCTCGGGAAAGCAGAACCTCACTGCCTTCTGGTGCTCCCTGAGGGGAAGAGGGACAACGGGGAGGCTGGGGGCTTTGGAGCATAAACCTCGGTGCAGCATCCCACCAACAAGAACACTGTTCTGTGATTAATGGGAAATCTGTGACAGCGCTTCAAATATTAAGGATGCACAAAATCAAGCAGGATTAATTTTGCAATACATTGGCATCTGTTACCTTTGCAGCAGCGATTTCTGATGGAATTTCTGGCAAAGGATGCCTAGAATCAACAACTCTGAGAAGCACCTGGTGCCTCTGGAGGAGATGCTGTGATGAGTTTGGAGGCTGGGATGGTCTTGGCCTGGCAGTTTTGCATGGGGCAGGATGAAGGTGCCATTTTTTGTTGTCTTTGTGGGGTTTAAGCCCTATCTGGTGTTTTCTTGGATTAGCAGGTGGAAAATCTCCCTGAAGATCCTTGGTTTTCCCTATGCAGGCTGAGGGCCCCCGTGTGCCCACGGGCGCTGGGATACAACCGGAGCTCGGGGCGGCGCATTCCTGCCCCCTCAAAAGCCGGGCGGACGGCAGAGCCGCCAAACAGCCCCCTTCTTAATGCTGATTCTTTCCATCACAAGCACGTCTTGTCTCCGTGGCCGAATGTCTTCCATAGACGGTGGAAAGTGAAATTTGTGCAATGTCTGTAGGAGGCTGAAGAAAGGCCCTTTGTGCGCCCCCCGCGCGGGCGCTGGGCAGCCTCCAGCAGCACCCTCGGCCGCCCCGCGGCTCCTGCCGCCGGCCTCAATGCACCGCTTGTCCAGAGACCGGGACCCACTCTTAAAGCCGGAGCTGGTCTCCCCTGGTTAGTCCCACCGGTGGCCCCGTCGGGGCGGGCACGGCTCCGGGGGCCCCCCGGCCGCAGCCCCAGGATGTTTCTGTACTGGAGGAAGCGGGGTGCCTACGAGCTGGAGGCTTTGCCGCCCGGCCTGGCGGGGCTGGAGTGCGGGGCAGTGGAGCGCTTCTCCTGGAGCTCCAGCCCGGACGTCAGCGAGGAGCTCGGGGGTAGGTGGCTGGGGGGCTTTAGGCAACCGGCAGGCTGTGGCTGAGCGCGGCT